ACCGAATTTCTTTTTTCCTTTCTTTCTATCGTTCTTCTTAACTTTTTCTAGACATCAACAGATTCATTTTCTGCTTATTCTATCCTGCAATTGTAAAAATAAAGTCTATCGCTGGTTGTCGTGACTCTATTTTTGTTGGCAGTTTTAAAAACTGTTTTACCAAAAACTTCGCTTGAATGTAGCTAACCAACAACAGTAAAATAATGCTACTTATAAAGCGGATCCCGGAAACTGATTCTGTGTTGCTTTTCTAAAACTGCAAAGCCTTGCTAGTATTTTGCGATCTTATTATGCAGTAATTTTTTATCATACTTATTCACTGCTTTTGACTTCAACAAGTTTGTGAGAACTCTTTGTCAGTTTGTTTAGCTCTTTTTTTTTCACTTAAAGAATTTTTACTTTTTATTGGCTTTTTGGTACGCTTTGGTACTACTGGTTTGCAAAATGCTTATTTGCTAAATTCACTGTTTAAAAGTGATGTAAAAGTGTCTGCTTTGCAAATCTATCAGAAATGATCAGTAAAAAATTTAATTCTAATTTTTTTCTTCAAATATCATCATTTACAGTACTTAGCAGTCATTTTGTAGATGCTTCTTTATTGCCATTTAATGACTTATTTGAGCAAAAAAAAAGCTGTCTACCAAAAATTTGAAAAGTTAAAATTTATCACCGTCTTTACATTTTGACGCTGTCTAATTGTCCTTGAGGATTATTGTCAGTGCTTCAAAGAAAAAAACTTTAAAACGGACTGTCAGTTAAGTTTTCATCTAAAACGTACGAGATTTTGCTTGCTTTTTCCGCTAAAGACCCATTCATTTCCAGCACAGTTATTTTGTTTTTATTATCTTTAACTACCACATTGATCTTCGATAATTAAAACAGTAATTAGAGAAATTAGTGAACCCGCTTAGTTTTCTGCTTAAACAGCTATTTTCCAGCTGATTTGACAGGTATTACTTTTTACACTGCTTAATGTTGTTCTTAGTTTAAGAGTTTATTTAGAGGAAAAAAGTCAGTTTAGTGTTTTGTCAATATACCCCTTAATCTTTTTCCGTTGTGTACAACAGTATAGACTAAAGGGCATTTTTCAAACGCAGGATCATAAAAACTGTCCTTCAGCAATTCCTTTATCTGTCGTCATCATTCGCCGCATTTTTCAGTAGAATTTTCAAAACTTTGACGAAAATGAACACTTCTAGAACAGAAACAGAGTTTGCGGATAAACGACTGGCATTTTTCTAGGGCTTGAAAAACTTGATCGTCAAATAAATGGCACGTCTGCACCGCTAATTACCGATTCAAACCTCAAGTATTATCGGTTGCCCAAAACATCCAGGCACAGGTAATATCCGGCACTCTGTCGCCGTCACTTGATTTTTGGACATCAATTAACATTAGTGCAATCATTCCGATCCACTTTTTTCGTTTATTCGTTTGATTTAAATTTATCAACAAAAAAATTTGAAATTATCTTCACATTACAGAAAAAAACACTAGTATTTCCTGTAGAGTAAGATATGTAATGTGGTAAACCAAAATATTCATCACTTTTACTACAAAAAAAA